TCCTCTTATCCTCCAAAACGACTTTTGACTTTTTGCAATTTGTTTGGAAAATAAATGTGAATTTGTCTCTCAAGAGTTGAGACGTTTTCCGTGTATTTTAGCCAGGTACAAATAATGTGAATTACGCATTCTGACTATTTGCAATTTGTTTGGAAAATAAATGTAAATTTATTTTCTCAAGAGTTGAGACGGTTTCCGCGATTTTTAGCTTAGTCTAAATAACGTGCATATATGTTGTTTTCTAATTCCACAAAAAATAAAAAGACTTCTAAAACGTAAACAGAACGAAACAATCAACGCAGAATTGTGTTGATTGTTGCAGGCTTTGTCATTATCTTGGATAGACGAGTCATCCTCTAATTGCTACACCTACCTACAGAAAAGTAGTTGGTCCACTCACACATGTTACATGCTTGACCATTTGAGTCAATAACCTTGAACTATTGCATGGATTTCCACTTGCATCGTGGAAATTTTGGTTTGTAGGTTGTTCTCAAACTTGTACTTTTCTTTAAAGCGTGATTAAGACAAATAACAAACAAAAGTGGAGAAGAATCATCTATTTCGTGGGAGTCATTCATCCTTCCTCTTATCCTCCAAAACAACTTTTGACTGTTTGCAACTTTTTCGGAAAAAAAAAAATGTGAATTTGTCTCTCAAAAGTTGAGGCATTTTCCGTTTATTTTAGTCTGGTCCAAATAACATGAATTAGGCATTCTGACTATTTGCAACTTGTTTGTAAAATAAATGTAAATTTGTTCTCTCATGAGTTAAGATGGTTTCCGTGCTTTTTAGCTTGATCCAAATAACGTGAATTACACGCATATATGTTGTTTTCTAATTTCACAAAAAACAAAAAAAAAACTTCTAAAACATAAACAGAACAAAACAACCAACGCGGAATTGTGTTGATTGTTGTAGGCTTTGTCATTATTTTGAAGGGACAAGTCATCCTCTAATTACTGCACCTACCTACAGAAAAGTAGCTGATCCACTCACACATGTTCCATTCTTGATCATTTGAGTCAAGACGACTCAGTGTGTGGATTGTATTGTGAACTATTGCGTACTCACCCAGCATTGTAATACACTCGCAGCTTTAATTGTACACTTCTTCTTCATTCTTCAATCGTCTTTGCCTTGATTTTGTTGAATTAAGATGGAGAATGACGGAATCAGGTGCTTGAAGAAACTCTTTCATAATTCCATTGTGGTGCTACTTTTTCTACAATGTTTCAACCCTTCCCTATCCTCTGGATTCTATAATGTTTCTTTCGGTTGTGTATTTCAATCCTTTTTTGTTCATAATATAATTCTATTGTGATACAATTTTTGTTTCATGTATTTCAATCCTTTTCGTTTCAGGATACCTCCTTCAAACAACTTTTCCCATTCTTCAATAACATAATGTTTACATCTTCTAAACATAATCTTTCTAGCAATTTGAAACGGAAAACTAATGAAAATGGCTTACAAACTTTGAGTTTTAACGATAAGGACAAAATAAAGAGTAAAGTGAATAGTATCAAAATTGACTTTTTAGTGTAAAAATGTGGTTTTTTGTTAAAGTAAACAATATCGGAAGTTTTTTATTAAAGTTTCTAATTTTAAATCAGCAGCATCGCGCAGACTTTACTTTCCAGTACATACTAGAGGGAGCAAGAGAGAGAATAGTGGGAATCATTCATCACTAAGTCACACGTGTGGAATTTAATTTGCGGACAAATTTTTTTACTGTTTTTAACTTTTTGAAAATAAACGTTAATTTGTTCTCTCAAGAGCTAAAAGACGTTTTATGAGTTGTTATGGCCTGAAGCCGTCCCTTTACCACGCATGGATTCTCCCCAATTCAACGTAAGTCCTCTTTCTTACATACACAAAAAAACAACAAACACGTTTTTGACTTGAAAGAAAGCAGCCCATGTAAAGTAAGATTCATGCCTAACTCTAAGGCAAATACATTATTCTAACAGACTATAAAACCTAGTTTTCCCAACCAACATTTATTCACACCCAACACAATACACTGTCAGCTTGTTTTCCATACCCCCTGAGTCCTCACCATTTGAACTACACTTGCAGCTTTCCTTTTGCTCCTAAATCAAAATCCTGAATCCACAGTTTTTCTTCTTCCTTCTTCAATTGTCTCTTGGTTGATTTAGTTCAATTAAGATGGAGGGTGACGGAATCAGATGCTTGAACAAACTCTTTCGTGCTTTAATTGTGGTGGTAATTTTACTACAATGTGTTGTCAACCCTTCCCTTTCCCTTGGAGTCAATAATATTTCTTCAGCAGGAGTGACGAGGTGCTTTGAGAGGGAAAGAGAAGCACTCCTTGCTTTCAAACTAGGCCTCGTGGATGACTACAATCTCCTCTCCTCGTGGGGAAGAGAAGAACACAAGCAAGATTGTTGCAATTGGGCAGGCATCCACTGCAGCAACCGAACCAACCATGTTACTCAACTTAATCTTGGATGGTATTATTTGCGTGAAGCTTACGCACTTCAACTGAAAGGACAGCTGGAGTCTCTCGATTATTATTTTCAAGGTAAAATGATGAGTCCTAAACTAATTGAGGTGCAGCATTTGAAATATTTGGACCTTTCTTCCGTTAACTTCACTGGGACCCAACTTCCATATTTCATTGGTTCTCTTTCCAATTTAAGACACCTCAATCTCTGGTCTGCTGCTTTTGGTGGTCGATTTCCAAGCCAGGTCGGCAACCTTACACGCTTGCAATATCTTGATCTCAGCTACAATCACTTTGCTAATGTAGAAAACATGAATTCATGGCTGCCTCATCTTTCTGCTTTAACATATTTGGATCTGAGTTACAATAATCTCAGTAATGTTCCTGACTGGCTGGAAGTGGTTAATAAGCTCCCTAAACTTACAAACTTGTCTCTGTCTGATTGCAGTCTTCCTTCTCCTCTAATTCATTCCAGTACTCTTTTTAACAAAAATTCTTCCAGATCTCTTGCTCATGTTGACCTCAATTACAACCAACTCACTTCTTCCATATTTCTTTGGTTGTCCAAATACAATGCCAGCCTTGTTCATCTTGATCTCAGATCCAATCTCAGATCCAATAACTTTGCTAATGTAGAAAATCTGAATTCATGGCTGCCTCATCTTTCTGCTTTAACATATTTGGACCTGAGTTACAATAATCTTAGTAATGTTCCTGACTGGCTGGAAATAGTTAGTAAGCTCCCTAAACTTACAAACTTGACATTGGCTGGATGTGGTCTTCCTTCTCTTGCAATTCATTCCAGTACTCTTTTTAACATAAATTCTTCTAGATCTCTTGCTCATGTTGACCTCAATTCCAACCAACTCACTTCTTCCATATTTCTTTGGTTGTCCAAATACAATGCCAGCCTTGTTCATCTTGACGTCTCTTACAACCAGTTAACTGGCTTATTTCCCGATGTCATTGGAAACATGAGCTCTCTTGCATATCTAGATCTCTCTTCTAACCAATTTGAAGGGGTGATTTCAGAAAGTCATTTCTCGGGTCTCTCCACATTAAGATATTTGTCTCTGTCCTCTACCTCCCTAACTTTACACTTCCATTCTACATGGGTTCCTCCCTTCCAATTGGATTATATAAACTTGGGGTCTTGCAAGATGGGTCCACATTTTCCAAATTGGCTTCGAACTCAGAAAAGTTATTGGAGGCTTGATATTTCTAATGCAGGAATTTCTGACATCCTTCCAAGTTGGTTTTGGGAAAGGCTGTCTCATGCTACTGAAATTGGTTATGCAGATCTCTCCAACAACCAAATTAGAGGAACAATTCCAAACTCGCAAATCAATTTTGTATGTTTCTCTCAGCGACTAAATTTGAGTTGGAACCAATTGGAAGGTGAAGTCCCTCCATTCCTATTGAAAGCCTCGTCATCTCTCTTTCTCTCCCACAATAAGTTTTCAGGGTTGTTTCCAATTAACGCAAGTAATTTAAGATTGCTTGATCTCTCGAGCAACCATTTACATGGAGAACTTCCCGATTACTGGACTCATTTCAAAAATCTTTTAGTTCTTGATTTGAGTGACAACCTTTTTTTGGGGAGAATTCCTGCCACAATGGGCTCTTTATCTTCAATTCAAACATTGAACCTAAACAATAATGGACTTGTGGGAGAATTGCCTTCATCTTTGAAGAACTGTACAAGTCTCGTGGTTTTTGATGTTGGAGAAAATGAATTATCAGGTTTGATACCTGAATGGTTAGGGGTTGGACTTCCAAATTTGACTATTCTTATCCTCCGTTCTAATCACTTCTATGGAAGCATTCCATCACAATTGTGTAATATGGGAAGCATTCAGATTCTAGATTTTTCGATCAATAGCATCTCCGGAAGTATACCCAAATGTCTCAACAATTTGACCAATTTGGCTCTAAGAGGAAGTTCAAGTCTAACCATCACTCACCCAAATTCATTCTTCACTGCTATTGATGGTTATGATGACGAAGCATCCTTGATATGGAATGGAATAATGTCCAAATACAAAAGTACTCTGGGGCTTGTAAAGAGTATCCATCTGTCAAGTAATCGATTAACAGGAGAGATTCCTAGTGAAGTTACTGATCTTGTGGGGTTGATTTCTTTAAACCTATCAAGAAACAACTTAACAGGTCAAATAACTCCAAAAATAGGGAAGTTGCAGTCTTTAGATTTGCTTGATTTGTCAAACAACCAAATACATGGTACAATTCCAACAAGTCTCATTGGAATATCTAGCCTTGGTAAGTTGGACTTGTCCAACAACAACCTGTCTGGAAAAATTCCCATCGGGTCTCAACTACAACCCTATGACGCCTCTGTTTTTGCCGGAAATCCTCTCCTTTGTGGAATTCCACTTGAACATATGTGCTCTCCTAAGGAAACAACCCTGAAGGAGAAACCGGTGGTTGAGAATCAAGATGAAGATAATGATGGGTTTATAACACCTGGATTTTATGTGACTTTGGGGCTTGGATTTGTCATTGGATTCTGGGGAGTTTGTGGGAGTTTGATATTCAACCGGTCATGGAGATACACGTACTTCAAGCTCTTGAATGATTTAAATGATTGGCTTTATGTCAGGGTGACATTGTTCAGGCAACGAAGAATGCTCGATGAATAAACTGTAAGTTTTCTGTGACATAATGAATAATATTACAATTAACATACATGTCTTCTTCTCTTTTAAAATCCCGGCTAACGGCTAATGCCTGTGGTTTACCTGAATTTTTGTAGCTCGTTCATCGTCTTGTTTGGTACTTCATGCTAACCCTTTCGGCTTTCGGTTTGAGGAGGAGCCTGAAGGAGAAGAAGAATGCAATAACTTAAAGTTATGGAAGAAGAGATTTTACAGAATGAAGAGCTCTACTGTTACTTGTAACAATAAGTTGGAATTTCTCCAAATACATTAGAGGTAGATGTATTTGGATCATTGTCGAGTTGTAATTTCACACAAGTATTTATGGTTTTAGTTTCAATTTTTCCCAATTTGTATGAATTAATGGATGAATAAACTGCATTCCAAATTGAAAGCCAGGATTGAAGAGCTGTGTGTAAGAGACTAAAAAAAGCGGCACTAAACGAAGGTATAAAATTTCAAAACTACATTGAACTTGTTATACAAACGTCAAAATAAGTGAGACGACCCTAAACAAATGGTGGAATATGTGTGCTAAAAAGTTAATAACTTAAAAAATAAAATTTCCCACCATTCCTATTAAAACACGTGGTGTACCACTTGTGTTCCTGTCACAACTAAAAATTTCTCCCATTTGTGCAACATCATACAAGCTTGTGATAAACGAACAAGTTTGGCTCATGAAAACAGAGGCAAAATTATTATATTTTTTTTTTATTTATTTGTTGCCCTAACATACAAACAGTTGCCCCCAAATCCAACTCCAGCTAATTGCCCCAACAAAAGAAGAAGATTAAATTATGAAGAAGGGAAAAAAAATAATTATGTTTGGGATTCAAATAAATGAGAATAGGAACTCTTGGTAGCCTGTTAGCATCTGGCCAAAATTGTTCCAGCCTTTGGCCGATAAGAGTTTTGTTCGAGCCGTTTCCACCCTGGATGTACTCCTGTATGCACGAGTGGTAAGATGAGTAACAGGGAATGTAATGCTGAATAAGTGCTATTGAGTTTAATGTCTGTCTCTTGTTGGTGAATAACATACGATTCAGAAGCGGATAAAACAGATACACACTCGGGATTGGTACAATACTAGTGGAATTAAGCTTGTCTGAGTGAGGGAATATCACTAATCAAATAGCTAATGCACAGCCAGCTAAGTGAACAGGGAAAGGGAGCAATATTGATATCAATATCAATTCCTCTCACTGGGTAAAATTATAACGTGACAGAAACAGAACGGCCAACTATGAATAACCAGGAATACGAAAAGAAATTCTAATGAAAAATATTCATCAGCTCATGAAAAAAAAATAAAAAAGATTTTGGAAAACCACACGTAGGAGACAGGGAAAAAGATTATACTTTCCAGCTTTCACTCCACAACTATATACTTTATGGATATCATATAGTAAAGAGGAATGGTGAAAACAATTTCTTTTCGGGTTGCATAGCTAAGTTTCATAGACCCACCGGGATTAGCACTCGCCCTCCACCCTTGGTCTCAAGGAACATGGCATATCGTTAGGTTTAAAAGCTATTTGAAAGGAGAAACATGTAAAGCATTTGCAACCTTACTTACCAAAAGAAAGTAACGAAAATATCTTAGCACAGATTTACTTATGTGACAAGAGTATTGTGTATCAGGAAAAAAACAATGGAAGAAGCTTTCGGAGGGGAACAAAAAAGCAAGAAGAAAGAGAACATACAAGCATATCTTCTCAAATAACCGTTTCCATTAATGGAAAATGGTACAGGCCTCCTTTCCTAACTGAAAGATAAGATCTCTTGCATCCTTTCAGGTCAGTCTGAATTTAACCTCCGAGCAAAATCTTCAACCTCCCTGAACAGCGATTTAAGAAAATATGTCACAGCAGCAAGAACAAGTTGTCTCTAAAAATTGCATATTCACATGCAGAACCATGGTGGAGGATGCAACTTGAAATTCCAGTTTATCAGAAAATAAAATAATACTGACTAGAGAGAAAAAGACCTGCAGAACCAGAAGAGTGGGCAGTCGGAACCATGTTTCACAACAGATGCTTAATGGTGATGACCAGAATGAGAGCTCTTTTTCTTTATAAACATAAACGAATATTTATTTAAAATGTCCAAACAACATCTTTCAAAGCCACCATAAAGAGCTAGCAAAGGCAAAACATTGTCCCCAATGTTTACTCACTTTTATCACAGACCAACTTTTTTACGCAACCTTTTTCATCTTCTTAGCTGGGTGAGGAGTGGATTTGAACATGGGACAGTTTAAAAAAGAAGTGGAGAAATACCACTACATTAATAGCTATTAGTTTTTAAGCAAACTCTGCAACATTGAAAAACATATGACAATTTGAAATTCTTTTGCAGCTATCAAATTTCATCTTCTATTGCATATCTTCAATTTCAGAACTGCATTCATAAAAAATAAAAATAAAAATAAATAAATAAAAAAGCAACGAAGTTGCACCATAATGAGATCCACCATTCTGTTTCCTTAAGCTTTTCATACTAAAGTCATCATTGACAAAGTTATTACCGCTCAGTTCAATTCCGTACTTTTTCTTTCACATGTTGCTCGACGTGACAAAGTTATTACCGCTCAGTCCAAATTAAGATGTCTTGGTCTGTCCTCTGCCTCACTAACTTTAAACTTCCATTCTAAATGGGTTCCCCCTTTCCAATTGGATTCCATATTATTGGGGTCTTGCAAGATGGGCCCACATTTTCCAAATTGGCTTCAAACTCAGACAAGTTATTCAGTCCTTGATATTTCTAATGCAGGAATATCTGATACTCTTCCCAGTTGGTTTTGGGAAAGGCTGTCTCATCATCATGAAATTGGTTTGGTAGATCTCTCCAACAACCAAATTAGGGGAACAATTCCAAACTCGCAAATTGATTTTTTATATTACCCTCGTCTACTAAATTTGAGTTGGAACCAATTGGAAGGTCAAGTCCCTCCATTCCTATTAAAAGCGTCATCTCTTGATCTGTCCCACAATAATTTTTCAGGGTCTTTTTCTTTCTTGTTTCCAATGAAGGCAAGTAATTTAACGTTGCTTGATCTCTCGAGCAACCATTTAGACGGACAACTTCCCGATTGCTGGACTCATTTCAAAAATCTTTTAATTCTTGATTTGAGTGACAACCATTTTTTGGGGAGAATTCCTACCACAATGGGCTCTTTATTTTCTATTCGAACGTTAAACCTAAACAATAATGGATTTGTGGGGGAATTGCCTTCATCCTTGAACAATTGTTCAAGCCTAGTAGTTTTTGATGTTGTAGATAATAATTTATCAGGGCCAATACCTGAATGGTTAGGGTATGGACTTCCAAATTTGACTATCCTTATCCTTCGTTTTAATCACTTCTATGGAAGCATTCCGTTACAAATGTGTAATATGAGAAGCATTCAAATTTTGGATTTATCGATGAACAATATCTCCGGAAGTATACCCAAATGCCTCAACAATTTGACCAATTTGGCTCTAAGAGGAAGTTCAAGTCTAACTATCACTCATACCATTTATGTAAACTCCACTTCTCTCACTAGTTATAGTTATGATGACGAAGCATCCTTGATATGGAAAGGCATGATGTCCAAATACAAAAGCATTCTGGGGCTTGTAAAGAGTATTCATCTGTCAAGTAACCGATTAACGGGAGAGATTCCTTGTGAAATCACTGACCTTGTTGGGTTGGTTTCTTTAAATCTATCAAGAAACAACTTAACAGGTCAAATAACTCCAAATATCGGGAAGTTGCAGTCCTTAGATTTGCTTGATTTGTCAAACAACCAAATACATGGTACAATTCCAACGAGTCTCACTGGAATATCTGGCCTTGGTAAGTTGGACTTGTCCAACAACAACCTGTCTGGAAGGATTCCCATAGGACCTCAGCTTCAAATTTATGAGCCCTCTGTTTTTTGCCGGAAATCCTCTCCTTTGTGGAATTCCACTTCAGACGTGCTCTTCTGAGGAAACAACTCCAGAGGAGCAGCCGGTGGTTGGGAATCAGGATGAAGATAATAATGACGGGTTTATAACTCCGGGATTTTACGTGAGTTTGGGGCTTGGATTTGCTGTTGGATTCTGGGGAGTTTGTGGGAGTTTGATATTCAATAGGTCATGGAGATACACATACTCCAAGCTCTTGAATGGTTTGAATTATTGGCTTAATGTCGGGGTGACATTGTTCAGGCAACGAAGAATGCCCGATGAATAAACTGTAAGTTTTCGGTGACATAATGAATAATATTGCAATTAACATACATGTCTTCTTCTCTTTTAAACTCCCGGCTAACAGCTAACGCCTGTGGTTTACGTGAATTTTTGTAGCTCGTTCATCGTCTTGTTTGGTACTTCATGCTAACCCCTTCAGCTTTCGGTTTGAGGAGCCTGAAGGAGAAGAAGAATGCAATAACTTTTAAGTTATGGGGGAAGAGATTTTACAGAATGAAGAGCTCTACTATTACTTGTAACAATAAGTTGGAATTTCTCCAAATACATTAGAGGTAGATGTATTTGGATCATTGTCGAGTTGTAATTTCACACAAGTATTTATGGTTTTAGTTTCAATTTTTCTCAATTTGTTATGAATTAATGGATGAATAAACTGCATTCCAAATTGAAAGTTAGGATCGAAGAGCTGTGTGTAAGAGATTAAAAAGAATGGCACTAAACAAAGGACATGAATTAAAATTTCAAAACTACATTGAACTTGTTAAACAAATGCCAAAATAAGTGAGACGACCAGTTCGTGTAACCTTGTGACATCCCACATCGCCCAGGGAAGTGATCCTTAAATGTATATTCCCATCCCTACCTAGCATGAGGCCTTTTGGGAGCTCACTGGCTTCGGGTTCCGTAGGAACTCCAAAGTTAAGCGAGAAGGGGGCTAGAGCAATCCCATGATGGGTGACCCACTGGGAAGTTGCTCGTGAGTTCCCAAAAACAAAACCGTGAGGGAATGGTAAGCCCAAAGCGGACAATATCGTGCTACGGTGGTGGAGCGGGCCCAGGAAGTGATCCGCCCCGGGCCGGGATGTGACAATTTGGTATCAGAGCCTATCCCTGGCCGGAAATGTGCCGACGAGGACGTCGGGCCCCTAAGGGGGGTGGATTGTGACATCCCACATCGCCTAGGGAAGTGATCCTTAAATGTATATTCCCATCCCTACCTAGCACGAGGCCTTTTGGGAGCTCACTGGCTTCGGGTTCCGTAGGAACTCCGAAGTTAAGCGAGTAGCGCGCGAGAGCACTCCCAGGATGGGTGACCCACTGGGAAGTTGCTCGTGAGTTCCCAAAAACAAAACCGTGAGGGAATGGTAAGCCCAAAGCGGACAATATCGTGCTACGGTAGTGGAGCGGGCCCGAGAAGTGGTCCGCCCCGGGCCGGGATGTGACAAACCTCATACAAGCTCGTGATAAACGGACAAGTTTGGCTCATAAAAATAGAGGCAGAAGTATTATTTTTTGATTTATTTGTTGCCCTAACATACAAACAGTTGCCCCCAAAATCCAACTCCAGCTAATTACCCCAACAAAAGAAGAAGATTAAATTATGAAGGGAAAGAATAATTATGTTTGGATCCAAATAAATGAGAATAGGAACTCTTGGTAGCCTGTTAGCATCTGGTCAAAATTGTTCCAGCCTTTGGCCGATAAGAGTTTTGTTCGAGCCGTTTCCATTCTGGATGTACTCCTATATGCACGAGTGGTAAGATGAGTAACAGAGAATGTAATGCTGAATAAGTGCTCTTGAGTTTAATGTTTGTCTCTTGTTCTGATCCTTCGGTGAATAACATACGATTCAGAAGAAAGAGATGTTATACAATGTATTCAAACGTTGATCAAACATTCAGGATTGTTACAATACTAGTGGAATTAAGCTTGTCTGAGTGAGGGAATATCACTAGTCAAATAGCTAACGCACAGCCAACTAAGTGAACAGGGAAGGGGGGCAATATTGATATCAATATCAATTCCTTTCACTTGATAAAATTATAACATGACAAACAGAACGGCCAACTATGAATAACCAGGAATACGAAAAGAAAATCTAATGAATAATATTCATCAGCCCATGGAAAAAAAAAGAAGGAGATTATGGAAAACCACACGTAGGAGACAGGGAAGCAGATTATACTTTCCAGCTTTCACTCCACAACTACATACTTTATGGATATCATATAGTAAGGAGGAATGGAGAAAACAATTTCTTTTCGGGTTGAAACTAAAAAATACTGACTAGAGAGAAAAGATTTGCAGAACCAGAAGAGAGGGAGGGTGGAACCATGTTTCACAACAGATGCTTAATGGTGATGACCAGAATGAGAGCTCTTTTTCTTTATAAACATAAACAAATATATATTTAAAATGTCCAAACAACTATTACACAGAAAATCAAAAACCAACATCTTTCAGAGCCACCATAAAGAGCTAGCAAAGGCAAAACATTGTCCCCAATGTTTACTCATTTCTATCACAGACCAACCTTTTTATGCAACTTTTGTCATCTTCTTAGCTGGGTGAGGAGTGGATTTGAACATGGGACAGTTTAAAAAAGAAGTGGAGAAATACCACTACACTAATAGCTATTTAGTTTATAAGCAAACTCTTCAACGTTGAAAAACATATCACAATTTGAAATTCTTTTGCAGGTATCAAATTTCATCTTCTATTGCATATCTTCAATTTCAGAACTGCATTCATAAAAAATAAAAATAAAAATAAATAAATAAAAAAGCAACGAAGTTGCACCATAATGAGATCCACCATTCTGTTTCCTTAAGCTTTTCATACTAAAGTCATCATTGACAAAGTTATTACCGCTCAGTTCAATTTCGTACTTTTTCTTTCACATGTTGCTCGACGTGATATATATATATATTTTTTTTTTCATCCACTAAAATTAAAAAAGATAAGATTATATTGCAAATCATGTAATAACCCAAAATACTTGCAGACAAACCTATCAGTTTTTTCCTTCAATGCGGGATCAATCTCATCATCAATATCACCATCATCAAACCCAATCATATCCTCCACCCTATCATCCTTTAGATCTTGTAGCTTTAATGTCAAACTAGAACTAGGCATAAATTTGTTGAGTTCATCACTGGG